TAATCATTATAATCATTATTATCATTATGATTATTATTATCATTACATGATTACTATCATTTTCATTATTGTTATTCTTATCATTATGATCATAATCTTGATTTCTTAGCCGTCCTTAAGGTGCTGTCACACGCACTTTTTTCCATTTTTTGACAATTTTCTTAAATTTTCTCCATTTTTGACCTAATTGTCGATTCTCCAGCCAGACGATAATGATCGTTTCCGTCTGAAAACCTTTCCGTAAACTTTTTTTTTTCAGCCAAGCATAGTCAAATCAAGAGCTATATTCGAGAATGTTTGTATTTATGTTAAATAAAATTCTCAAAAAAATGGAAACAGTGATAGTGTGACACGGCCTTAAATTACAGATGGACGTAGTCTTCGATGAGCCGTCTCCACCGGCTTCTATCTCCTACCAAGTTATCCAAATTCTTCTCTTTCATGTCTACTGCTAATATCATCGTTCCAACTTGTCTCGAGTCTTCCTCTCCTCCTCTTCCAGCATCCACATATCTATATCTCTCTCCTCTCATCGCTTCATCGCCCTTCATATCAAAATATCTCACGGTACCTTCCTGTAACTTCTTTGACACGATCACCACCTGTGCTGTTCTGTGCCATAGCATTGCTGAGATCCTGTCCCTCTTCGTCACTCCAAACATTCCATCGTAGCATTCACCTTTCAGCCACTACCCCTCCTTTTCGTTTGGTTTCTTCACGGATAGTACATCCTTATAAGTATACTTTATAGTACTTACTTATGACCTTGAGTACATCTGCCTATACGTTTTTACTTATAAGTCCTACATTCTTTCCCTTTTATCTTTATATTCCTGTCGCGCAAACCTTCTGATACAACTTTAAATTTCCCATCCTACTTGGATTCTTCCAGATGTTTCTCTCTCAACATTACCTCCCAGGCATGAAACCAAACTGATTTCTGGACTCCTCTACCTTATAGAGTGGACCCTAGGTATTCAAATGCATCCACACACTTCAGTTCACGTCATCCAGCGCAATGCTTTCCGTCTCCCCTGTCATCTGTAAAAACATCTTATATTCACAGTCTTACTCTGCTTATTTTCGTTGGCCAATCCGCCAATCTGTGCTCTAACCCTTCTTTGGAGTCATCCGACAAAACCTCGTCAACATACATCATGTCCCACCAATACAACGTTGAAGAAGAGTCCTGAGAGAGTCCCTTTTCAACTCGTGTCTATTACACCTGCTCCACGCTCCGGTCGTGTCTGGGCATTTCTATACAGTCCTTAGATCAATCTTATTTTTCCGAAACCTGCTCTCTCTCTCTCTCTCTCTCTCTCTCTCTCTTCTCTCTCTCTCTCTCTCTCTCTCTCTCTCTCTCTCTCTCTCTCTCTCTCTCTCTCTCTCTCTCTCTCTCTCTAAACTTCACAGCTCCTGTCTTGCTATCCTTTGATAAGCCCTCTCCAAATCTATATACACCATGTGAAATTATTTTGGCATCTCTGTATACTTTTCCGCCATCTGCCTAAATATGAACCTTGCGCGTGGCCCCTTTTCCTGACCTCTGACCACTCTTTTGCCTCAGCTTCTCATCCCAGGTCTTCCTGGTGTGTAGCAGTTCTCGTGCTCTTGAATATCCCTTTCTCCTTGAGTGGCACCAGCACTCTCCCCCACTCCTCATGGATCTATTGCTGTTCTTCTATCTTCCACATTGAGCTCCACAACTAATCCACTCCGCCTCTCCAGGGCTCTCCACGTCTCCACTGGCATGTCATTTGGTCCAAAAGTCTCGTTTTTTTCATCCTTTAAAGTGCTCTTACCACTTTTGTTCTATCCATTGGAGAGGGGACATTGATGGGTTGGCGAGCGAAGTGAACATTCTCTTCTACGTGGCCATTCAGATCCACATCCATCACCACCCCTTTCCTCCACAGTAGTTCTATTCACTTCAGTTACTAGCTTTCTCCAGAACTCTTCTTTTTACTCGCCTGTTTGCTTCAGACAAGTGCACAATCACATTCCCATATACCAGTCTTACTGTGATCAGCCTACCTCCTCTTTTCACCTGTCACATATTCTTTCATTTTCTGCGGTACCACTGTTCCAGCTCCATTCCTTCCTTCTGTCACACCGCCACAGTACAGTTTGTATTCTTCTCCAAATTATCCAGCCTCGTTGCCTCTCTGCCCCCTGCACTCACATTATGCCCACCCTCCTCTTCCAGCCGGTTTGTTAGGTTAGGTTAGGTTTGGTTTGGTTTGGTTAGGTAAGGTTTGTTAGGTTAGTTAAAATTGTGCCAGGCCCGATCCAATGAATTTTCAGAAATACAGATGCAGAAATAAAGGCACTTCTGTCTAAATATCTGATAGACATACATTTAACCATCTATTTACCGGGTTGATGTACATGTCTAGACTGATAGACATGCATTTATTTCTTTATTTATGCTTGTCAGGTATACGAATTATTCTTTGGGTCGGGCCTCGCACAATTCTAACATACCGGCCGTTCATCAGCT